CCTCTCCCCCTCCCCCCAGCCGGCGGCTTCCCCCGCCACCGGCGCCGCTTCCCTTCCCATCTCCCTCCTTTCTCGCCGGCTCGGCGCGGCAACGGCGGGGTTCGGCGGAGACGGCGCCGTCCCAACGGCGGCGACGACGGCGTCCGCGGCGGCCGCGCTCCCTCTCCCCCCTCCTTCCCGTCTCGTCGGCTTGGCGCAGCGACGGCGGGGTGCGGCGGAGACGGCGGCGACGGCCGTCCCTCCCCCCCTCTCTCTCCCCGTCGGCCTCGACGGCGACGGCGCCCTCCCAACGGCTGCGATGGCGTCGGCTTCATCCGCGTGCGGATTCGGCAGCGGCGGCTCCCTCCGGCGGCAGTGGTGGCGTCGGCGGCCGCCCTTTTTTTTTTTTTGCAATTTTTTCCATGGCTATTGCTAACCGAATAGGATTGTGCATGGACAAAAGATGGACGAAAATTAGATGTCATATAGATTTTTTTTCTAGATCGGACTTCTTTTTTTTTCGCACTTTTTTACGTCCGGTTATTTTGGATCGGAAAAACCTGGTTTTTTTCGCCCGGTTTTTTTTTTTCACCTTTTTTGTTGGATCGGACTTTTTTTCGTCCGGTTTTTTTGATCGGACAAACTTGGTTTTTTCTACCCGGTTTTTTTTCACCCGGTTTTTTTGACGGACGATGGAAGCACCTCTTATTTTTTAAGTAGTAGTAGAGTAGATATAGATATATATATATATATATATATATATATATATATATATATATATATATATAACTACTATATGGCGCTATAGGCGCCACGTATTAGATGGCACCACACACACAACCAACCACCCTGTCCCACCCCCACGCGCACTCAATTTAAACAGACCATGTAGTTAATTTTTAACTCAGTGACCCACCACCCCACCCATCCCCACGCCAGTTATTTTTTAACTGTTAGCGAGATAGCCAATGTGTGTCTTGTGATCCAACGGTGTTTGCACAATGAGTTATTTTTTAACTCAACGTACAGACTTTATATAGTATATATATTACGGATTTCCATCGTAGAAACCGTCCACCCACTTTTTCCTCTCCGTCTCCACATTTTATGGATCGTTGATGGCTTGGCGACGAGGAGGAGCGGCGGTGGCGGCGGTTCGGGGACAAGCAGAACCGGCGTCGTGGAGGAGCGGCGGTGGCACGTCAGGCCTGATGGCGTCGCATCCATGGCGGGCGCGGCATCTGCGGGCGGGGGGTGGATCCGGCACGGCACGGCTGCGACAAATATTCAAGAACAGCACATACCATTTTGCTTCAGCTATGGAATGAAACAAAAATGAGAAGGAAGTCAGAGATAAGTGCAAGATTGAACTAGCTAGTTCTGAATATTTGTTCTGCTTCAAGCACAACATCTCCATGTGTTCTGAACTTAAATACTGAGATTCCTGAAGAACAGATTCTGGAAGACGAGTGCATTCCATCTGAATACGCGGTTTGCAGACGTCGGCTCGGTGACGACACATGAGTCAGAAGCAAATCAGGATTCGATAACGTTCATGCTTTCCTTGACTTGACCTATAAAGTAACGTCCTTATTACTCCCGTCAATGAATATGTATATCGTCGTATTAAGAAGATAGTGCGCTGCATCATGCACCTAACCGGCCTGATGTTCTTTTTCAATACGGGTGAATCCGAAGAGAATGATGACTCTCTGAATAGTGGATGAATTATTAGATCGGAGGGATTGTGGTTAGGGAATCTTTTAAAACATAGACACTATTTTACAGGATTTTTATAGAAATTAGGAAGCAATCACTACTTAAAAAAAGCATTTTTGCCAACGTTGGGTCTCTTTTTCCGCAGACGGGTATGACCCTCGGAGCCAAATATCTGTTAGAAATTTAATCATAATTCGGCATATTTTAATCCAAAATAACAAGATAATAAGCATGTTATTTACAATGAGCATGCTTAACATAGCATGTAATCAACATGAGCATGCTTAACATAGCATAACCATCAACAATCACATAATAACGCAATGTTGACATTGCGATGAATATTAACGGTACAACTTCTAATTGAAATAATGTAAGATGGTTATACCCCAAAAAAGGTCCTCCGCTGGAGTTTAAGGCAGTATTGCCTCTGTTGGTGTTGACAGGAGCATCCTTCTCCTTGTCTCCAGCGTTGTCGTTGTCTTTAGTGTTCGATATGTTAGTGAAGACAAAGTAGACGTTGACGAACAGTCAGTAGTCGCACCTTGCGCTCCCCAAAAACCTGATCGCCCACCCGTCCATGCAAACGTCGTAGCAGTGCGTGGTTTCGGAGGCCTATTCTCTCAAAGCGTGTGCACACACTCGTCGGGATGGGATTACCGTAGCAGCAAAAGCCTTGGAAATGGATGAAAGTGTGTCTCACTTCTCCTTAGGAAGATAAAATCCATTCTCATTTTATAGGAGGAATGGAAGATGAAGAGTAAGAGTCATGGAATAGGAAGAGAAATAGAGTAACTAATTCTCATCAATTACCCATCAACCATCCTCTATTACACAACCATCAACCAACCATCAATTAGGAGTAATTGATGTAGGTTACCAACGGAATAGGAAGAGCAATAGACCAACTAATTGTCATCAACTAGCAACTAGCCATGAACCATTCTTCACTCCACAAGTATCAACCATCCATCAATCAGGAGTAATTGATATAAGTTACCAATTCACCAATCAAATGGATTAATTATCAAAACTCTTCATCCCATTGATATCCCATTAAGAGAATGAATACACATGAATTCCTAGCATAATGAGCCTTGGAATTAATGATTTAAATGAATCAATTACTCAATTAAATCTAACAATATTCACTTATGAAAATGTAAACCGAGGTGGATTTTCATCATTCGATTGCGAAAATAAATTTTTCCAAGCGAACCGCTTAAGAGGTCCGCCTGCGAAAATACCTTTATTTCTATGATTTTTGCAGGCGGAAACTTATGTGCTCCGCCTAAAAAAAATCATGCCTACATGAAAAAAAAAACTAAGTCCTATCTTATCTTCTCATCTTCCATCTTATCCTCTCCCCACCACTCATTCCATCAACTCTCTCTCTCTCTCGCGGTTCCCTCCGGCTCCCTCCCCTCCGCTTCCTTCCTTCCGGTGGAGGCGCAAGCGAAGGGCGTCACCATTGCCGGATCCACCGCCCCCATGCCACCCCACTGCTGCCGACGCCACCCTCCTCTCTAGGCGCACCACTGTCGATGCCCATCCACTCCATCGGATCTAGGAGGGAAGCAAGAGGAGAGGGAGGGGAGAGGTCGTGCTGCCTCGTCCGCGCTCTGCCGGCGGTCCCCCTCCGGCCATGCAGGGAGGGCAGGAAGGGGAGGGGAGGGGAGATAGAAGGAGAGGGAGGGGAGTGGCCGCGCACGCTGCCGTCGAGAGGGAGGCAGCCATCAGGTTTATACCATGTTCGCTAACGGTATGTAAATAGGTTCACCTAATTTGTCATTGTTTATAGAATCAACTGATTAAAAAGATAGATCAGGTTAGCTTCGAACGTGAGCTATAAGCCTGTTGAGCTAATGAAATGTAAAGCACATGCATAGACGCTGATTAAATGTAAAGCACATGCATAAACTACACTACCACTAAGTTCAGATCTTGTCCCGTGTTGTTCTTTCAGTTGTAGCTTCCAAGCTGTGCATATCTCAGGCCTAGTGTCCGTCAGTGATCAACTGCAAGGCGCTGCATACTAGCCAGCAGATTCCAAGAGCGTTCGGTACGCCCTGTCTATTTCACGTACTATCTGGTTTTGTGTAGTTTTTTTCATTGATATTAATTCTTGCTCAACTAACACACATGTGTTAGCATCAGACGATGCCTGGATGGATGGTTCGCACGGTGTTCTTGCTCAATTCGTGGGTAATCCGGACGTTGGTAGTATTCAGCTTCGCAGCGCATGTCACCATCGTCTTCTTGGCAGGAGTCCGCCGTCATAAGGCTATCGGCTTGCCGATAGCCATCCTGTGGGCGGCGAACCAGCTGGGCCGGTCGGCCGCGACGTACGCGCTCAGCAAGCTCGCCCTCGGCAGCACGCCGCAGGAGCTGCAGCTGGTGACGCTCTGGGGGGCGTTCCTGCTGCTCCATGCCGCTGGTCCGGACAACATCACCGCCTACTCCTTGGAGGACAATGTTCTGTCGACGCGCCAGAAGGTAGAAATGATCTTGCAGGTATCAGGAGCAGCATTTGCCATGTACAAGAATATAGTCATCAGAAGCGGGTCCGGTACGATGGTCTGGGTCTCCTCTTTCATGTTCATCATGGGCATTTTTAAGTATTGGGAGAGGGCGAAAGCTATGCAGCTCGCCAACCTAGAAAACTTGCGAAGCTCAATCAAGAAGAAGAAGGAGACAAGGAGACGACGAAGCTTGAGAAATATTAGGCGTCCAAGCAGTTCAAAGCATGATAATGACAAGGAGGCACTGCTGGTTGCTCATGGCCTGCTCGACATCACCAAAGGCACCTTCGTCGATTCTTCAGTCAACGAGTTGGTATCAGAGCGAGTTCTCACCCCCTTCCTGATGAGCTCTCTTCTGCTCATTACTAGTGACATTGCCAGAACGATTCTTCTGCGCAGTAGTAATTTGGAGCTCAACCTCCATCCCTCGAGCCTCCTCAACTGCATTGAGGTATATAGTAGGCGGGTTTCTTCCCATCACTTCTCTATACCGAGCATTGAGCCCTCGAAAGAACTTCCTAGCCTTCTCACGCTCATCACTTGCCACGCTAGGCACAAAGCGTACAATACTGCTGAACTCCCGTTCATACTCATCAACAGTCTTGCTCCCCTGTTGGATATTGTTTAACTCATCACTCATCTTGTCCCTAAATGAATCTGGATAATACTTAGCTCTGAACTGCTGAAGAAAAACTTCCCAAGTAATAGCACCACGATCAGGGTTCCACGCTTCAACAACTCCATCCCACCAAATGTCCGCCTGACCAGTCAACTGAAAAGGCATGAAAGTAACCTTCTCCTCAGGAGTCATTCTTGATCCCCTCATATACTTCTCCATCTTGCGTAACCAGTCTGCAGCATTAACGGGAGTACCAGACCCATCAAATGTGTCTAAGCGCATGGATGTCCATCTAGTGAGTGTCATCCCCCGAACAGCTCGAGGAGCATCATCAGAGACAGCAGCTGAGTGGCTACCACCCTCCTCCTCTTCCATGTGCTCATCCTCCATCTGGTTCGAGGATGCTGCCTCATTAGGGCGACCTCTACCACGACCTCTTCCACGGCCTCCAGCACGGCCCCTACCACGACCTCCACGATTCGGAATAGGGGATTCAGCAACCGAGTTGTTCCCAACCTCTTCATTATCCTGAGTATTTTCAACTTCTTCATTATGGTGGCCCCTACCACGACCTCTACCTCCGCTTCTCCCGCGGCCTCTGTTAGCCAACCAAACACTCACTCTAGGCGGCATAGCTATATCAAACACAAGCATTTAGACGTCATTAGTTTAACAATAGGTTAGACAATGGCATGCAAGGAAACACAATCATACACATATATATGCAGCAGAAACATAAATGCTAGGAATGAACCATGCTCCCATTCCTATTGTGCACCAGTGTGTCAAGTTCTTTTAGATGTTTATATATAACCCAAGTTCTACTCTTATTATTTCCTACCCTAAGAGAAAGTATTTTTTTTAATTGGTTAGGAACTCTAGTTCAAAATTTTATGTTGATTTATATATCTCATTACCCAGTCAATTCCCATGGACCTACCGCCCGCTCTGATACCAACTGTAACACCCCAGGTAACCACGTACATAGAATGCCACACCAAAATACACTCAAAAACTAAGTCCTAAAATTATTAGAAATTTCGGCAGAGTCTCCCCTAAAAATACGGACATCACGACAGGCAGTTATAAGAAAGGTCAATACCGATATAAACCACACAATCCAAACCATCCTAGTGTAGACCCCCGATTTTGGAAATCGGAAATCTTCTGTGTTTATCCGTACCAATCCCTGGATCAGTAGTTGGTACACACATACATAGTTGGATCACAACATATCACGAATGAATTTAGACTAAAAGAGTTAAATACTTACATTAGGGCCAGGTAGGCCAACAACTATCAGAGAACAACAGCGGAAGACAAAATAATATAAGGGCCCGGTTAACATGCCACAGGCAGTCGACTGGGGAACGAGACCTAGAACAAGACCGCACTCCGATCATCTTGTGGGATACGCAAGCGTACCGACAAGGGCTTCTCTTCAACACTCTCCTAAAAGATATATAAATAGCAAGGGTGAGTACCAACCGTACTCAGCAAGCCACCACAACAACAATGCATATGATAGAGGGTATTTCAAGGAATGGCTTCAGGTTCTTTTGGATAAAGCTAATTTTACAATTCTTTTCACAAGCCTAAAACCTAGCATAGACTGATCAAATTTTAGTACCAGTGTTCACTTTAAACAACGACGGTTCTGTCCACCATCCATTGTGATCCCAAGGATAGCTTCCCGCCATTGAATCGTCATGGTTTTCTGAGGATGTCCACCTTCCCTCCTCTCGGGAAGTGGCTCCATCAGCATAAAATTCATCATGCAATATCCCATTCCCCACAAGTTAAGAATTTAGAGTCTAGCCAAGTGTAATACATGTCCCGGTGCTCAATAACCGCGAGCACGGCTATTCGAATAGATTTGGTTTACTCACACTGCAGTGGATGTACACTTTACCCGCACTCCGCGACTGCCCAACACATGAGCCTCGTCCCAACACATGAGACGCGTCACGGCAAAGCTTTTCGATAACCTCGCATTGGCAGTACCCGCTCCATGAACTTAAATCCTCATGCACTCTAGGCGTCCATGTTTCTAGCAGTGAGAGGAGTTCTGGCGCTCCCGGGAAAGAGAAGTCTCACACGCATATTAAATTATGGTTCAAGTTAAGTTCTCTCTCTCACACACTCATGACAGTCCTACCAATGGCGACACCGATGTAGGGCACGCCTCTCGGCCCTACCTCAACGGCTGTCCCATTGTAGCGCACCTGTCTCACTCAGGGGTGAACCATCTATGCAGGGATACTGCCTCCGCTCGGCTATCTAATCCGCTAGGTCTATACCCATTCGAGAAGTACGGTTGTACGGGGGTCGTTTCATGCTTAACTTCATGGCTCGGTCCTTAATTGACCAGGGACGGTACTAGCCTTTTCCAGATACCACCCAAATCCTCCGTCCGCCCCAGTCGAAAACAGTTGTTTAATTTTATTTCTCCTTTCACAAATCATGTCATCAACATCATGGCAATGTGGCGCTCATGTCTCCACATGCCGCATCTCAATTACCTTCCCAAAGGTAATTGCCCAAGCATATAGCATTTGATAAATATGAGTATGCATGATTCTAGAATGGCATTTCTAAGCAATTGTCATAATTGACTAGGGACTCATACGTAATCATGGTTACAAGGATTTTAAGGGTAAACAATAATCAAGGCATGGCATAATCACAAGTAGGATGTTCATCATTGCATGAAATTTTATTTGTAAACAAAACAATTTCGCAATTAGGATCAACATGTTCAAGGAATAGTGATGACTTGCCTTGCTCAGGATAATCCTTATTATTGCTATAATCTTGATCAACCTTCACCTCCTGTAAGTTGCAGACGTTGCCTCACGACTAACCGATACACAAGGTCTATAATACGCGAGAAAAACCAATATTCAAACAACAATCAAATATGCGCAACAAAATGTACTACTTCGTGTTTGCTAATGGATCCCAATCATGCTAAGGCTAAAGTTTCTTAATCTTTCTATTGTCATCGTGGCCTATTTAGGAGTTAACCAACATAGCATTTATGGGATACATATATATTTGGCTAATCAGTGGTTTAGTCTATCAAATGGCTATGGAAGGATTTTGGCTATGTACGCATCTATCTAAATAGGACGGTTATATACTAGAGGTTCTGTTGCTAGATGGATTTAGGATCAATCAAACAATTACAGTGATTCATTTGTATTATTTATTTTATTGATGGAAGCTTTACTTTAATTATGAACATATTTTACTTGCCATTATAAATTATAAAAGGGCTAATAATTATCCCTGCTCTATATGTTAAATTCGGGAAGTTTATAATATTATATTTACAGATTATCTCTTAATGAACAATCCGGATTTACAATTGAACTATGAACATATGAGGTCAAGATTTATAATTAGTACTTATCTAATATACATGTTTGTCAAAAGATGGGTTATTGTTCCTATGTATGATTTTAAATGGATTGTACAGTATATGTGATCTAAGTGGGTTGACAAGTGATTTTACTGTTTGGGTAATTATTGGATGTTAACCGACTCAACCTTATTTGGGTGGTTCTATCATAACAACTCTGTTCCTATTCCTCATAAATAAATTAAAGACTCATCTATGTGTATTCATGTTTGATTTACCTAATTATAAGGCTAACTTTACTATTTAAATAATCTATAAGTCATGGGTTTAATAATACAACCATTACATAGTGCTAGTATCTTCCAATACATTAGTTTGAGACATTATTTAAAATTAGTTTGTGTGGTTGTTACAGTGACAAAGCATGTTAAAGGCCTATATCATTACATCTACTCTATTGTACATTATCAAATCTATTTATTAGCACATTTTTAAGTTGACTACTATGCATCATCTTGATATTAATTATTTAGTAATTAATAATATATTTTCTTAAATAATGAATTATATACCATTGGAAAGCTTATGAATTTAGATGAATTTAGGATCAAGTTTCATTCAAATCGGAGTTAAAATGAATAAGTTATGCTAGTGTAAGGATTCAAATTCGAATAATTGCGAAACAGTACTGTTCACATCCGATTTATTTTAATCCGAAACCTATCTACAGCTCAGAGTCACTGACGGGTGGGGTCAGGGGTCTTATTATCTTTTCTACCGAATTATTTTTGTTAGAGAAAAATGGGGAGTGGGCCCGGCTTGTCAGTGGCTCGGCTGCTCTCTTTCTCTCTCTCGTTCTTTTCCTATCGTCTTCTACCTCCAGACCGTGCGGGAGCAGCAGGGGCGGCGCAGCGCGCGCGGCAAGGCCGGCGGAGGGCGACCCGACGGCGACCAGGGGAGGGAGCGGCAAGGCTCCGGCGTCCACCTGCCGGCGGTCACGGCGTAGGACGGCGCGGGGGCGAGCAGCGCCGCACGGCCGCCATGGCCGGGCACGGGTAGCTAGGTGCTAGGGCGATACGGAGGGTTTCCGACCAAATTGGTGCGGGCGTGAGCATCTATGACGTGTGAGGGTTCCATTTTACTTATTAGATGGCTAGGAAGAGCTCCGGGATGGCTTGTCCACGGCAAGCTCGCCGGCGGCATAATGGTGGCCGGGCCAGCACGGCTACGGGCGCTAGTCGCCGAAATTGAAGGAGGCTCGAGTTTCTACGGAACCAGGAGAGACCTGAGGAGCGTGGACTTACCGATAGACGGCGGGACGACGAAGATCGGGTGCAGTGGTGGAGCGGAGAAGAAGGTGCAGCACGCCCACAAGATGCTCGATGAAATGTATCCGAGGAAGAAGAAAAGGAAGAGAGGGGAGGACGAGCTCGTGGGGGCTGGGAGGTGTGGGGAGGGAAGGGGAGGCATGGGTTTATATAGGGGGCGGAGGGGAGAGGTGGCCGGTGCAGTGATGGCGGATGGGACGCGCGCGGCGTGCGGGGCTCGAGGCGAGCGGCGACGGGACATGAGCGCAGGCGCAGCGCGGGGCTCGGCGCGATGATGGCGACGGCGCAGCAGCTGACGGCAGCGGCGCGGGGCTCGAGACGAGCGGTGACGCGACGGCGACACGCGGCGACGCGACGGTGACGGCGACAGCGCGACGGCGGCGCGGGGCTCGGCGCGGCGAGAACGACGGCGACGCAGCAGCGGCGCGATGGGACGGCACGCGGCGCGGCAGTGCACGGGGCGCGAGGGCGCGTAGGCGGCAGAGGGAGGTGGGACGGGCGCGCGGCGGGGCAGGGGCGCGGGGCGCGAGGCGACGACGTGACGGCGACGACGATGGCGCGCGGGGCTCAAGGCGGCGACGGCGACTGCTCGACGGCGACGGCGATGGCGCGCGGCGCGGGGCGCGAGCTGGCGCGCGGCAGCGGCGCGGGCGACGACGATGGCGACACGAGCGGCATCAGGCAGGAGGAGGAGGAGGGCTAGGACGGCTAGGAACCAAATCGAACACCTAGGGTGCTAATGAACAGTGCTAGCCGGCTATTTAACCCTATTTTAGCATATTTCCTATATAAATTTTATTCTATAAATCCTAATTTTTACACAAATGAAGTTTACTCAATATTTGTGTTATTCTAACCAATGGATTCACCCTAGATTAATATTACCCATATTTATTTATTTATCGCACAAATGAATTCTTTTTAGATTAATTTGAGTTATTGGCCCTAAGGTGAACTTGTATATTTTTGAAGACTTTGGGGTACTATTACATTTAATATATCGACTTGTCATGATTAATACATTAGCAGATTGGTCAAGTTTAGTTGTATAGCAATATATTTTACACGGATAGGTTCAATCTATTTATTCTATAAATAGTAAATTGAGACTCGGTACAATATCAATCTAATTGTTTAATTAAAACTCACATATTCTTATTTATATATAAGCTTAATGTATTTATATGACCATCATTTTATATGAGTGAATTTTATGCCCAGAAAGATATGTTAAATATTAATGTAAGTATTCCAATGAAATACTCATCTACAAATAGGATTACTATAGTGGTGATCATCATTTCATGTGGATAGGTTGTCCTTTTAAATCGGTTTTACCTCTATATGAATCATTATATTTTAATATTTGACCTATAAATTAAATTAGTAATTAACCTTCTCTTTGTATGGCTTTGTTGTGGTGCGTAATTATTTATAGAGTTCATAATAAATATCTTATTTTTATAATTGTTACTCAGTTGTATAGCTTTAGCTTAATTTTCAGTGGTGACAATTTATAGTTCGGCAAGCAATAACAACCATAACTTCCAGCATGATGCAAAAGTTTTAAAAAGTTCAAAATTTTAGTGATTTTTATTGTCTTGAATTTTCAGGATGTTACACCTAGCTCCACAAATCCCACGTGAAAAATAAAGATCAGAACCTTAAATGACCTTTACAAGTTCTATGCAAAACTTATGCTGAGCAAAAATTATAGTCTAAAACTAATTTCAATTGTGTGCAATAATAATGTGTAGTCCAAGGGTGCTACTCCCGCCCCATGCCGATCGATGTCATTAGGTATCTAAAAACCAAATTAAACACAAGAGTGAGTAAAGAATACTCAGCAAGTACAATCTTGAACTAGTAAAACATACGCATGATTTATGCATTAAGAAACCAACATGAAGGGTTGGATTTACTTTATTTTTAAACAAAAGAAGTCAAAAGATAGTAGTTCCCTCCCGGGCAGGTGTGAATATCCTCTTAGCATTACCGGTAAGCCGAGCAAGCGTGATCAGCGCTTCTCAAGGATCATGAATAAAGATCCAAATTGCACTCCCATGGCTACGCATGGTTCTTGAATAATGTAAACAGAACATCCGGAATAATGAAACATGAATTTGAATATGGGTCGAAACACGAATAACTAGCATAACGTCATAGCCATACAATCAGTAATAACAAGCAATTGAATAATAATTATGCAAGTAAAGCCAAACAAAACAACTCAGTTTTGTCCATCATATAAGTCCGTCTTGTACTTGCCTTAACTCATTCGATACTCCGACTCAACTCCTCCAACGTTGGAACCCTCCACACCTGTGGAGCAAAACTACGCATAAACCACTATATTCAACTAATGATGGTTACAAGGGATATTTAGTAAAATCGAAACCTAGAACATATAAACCTTTTACCGATTTGTATTAAATAACCTATAGCTGTTCCATTACTGTTTTATGAGTAACTCACAAACCGTCTAACGGAAACTAGCAAATAATACAACTTCGGACATCTAGACAAAATTGTCTACAACTTTCATGTTGAGCACAAAATCAGATTATGCCTCTGAAAATCCCACATTAAGGAAAAACGAACTGCTGTCCTGATTTCCGGACCCGGTCAGCAGTACTGTTTTTGCTGTTTCTCCTAAACCGTTGATCGGAATCGAGTGAAACTAGCAGCGTTGGAAAGATATTGACAATGACTACAAACTTTATTTAGGACAACTAACCTGATTCCTGATGGTTTAATACCAGATTTGAAAATACGGTTTCAGCCTAGCGTTCGATATAAAATAAATTCGAAAAAACCGGAAACAGATCGTCTTAAATATAAATTAGAAACAACTATAGACTAAAACGGATTACCTAGCAGTACTAATGTATAAGAAAAACGAAGAATTTGGAAATATTCACCAAATTCCCCAAATTTCCCTTCTTCTATCAAATTTCCCCTTCTTTCCTTCCTTCCTGTTCTTCTCTGCCTTCTCTCCCTCCTTCCTGTTCGTTGCAGGCCAACAGCAGCAGCAGCAGAAACGAATATCGGCAGCAACAGCAAGCCGTACACCACCACCAAGGAAGAGATCAGATCGACAATAGCAGGGTTCGGCAGCAGCAGGGAAATTAACAGAAACAACAGTAGCTCACCAACGACCGGCTGCGGACGACGACGGCTGTGGCGACCGGCGATGGCTGCACCAGCGGCGGCGCCGGCGAAGAGAGGAACAGCAGCGGCGGCGGCAGAGCGCAGGAGGTGCGGCGGCTAGGGCTACAGGAGAATCGCTCCTGTTTCTTTTTTTTTCGTTTGTTTTTTTTTTGGTTGGTTATATAAAGAGACTAGATAAGATCTAACGGCTCACATCTATTCAATCCTCGGGACTTCGTTCGGACTCCGATTACTATAAATTTATAGTCTATTTTGCACTACTCGGCGAGCTCTACGCATCCACGGTTCCCGATCGCCTATACGAACAATGGTTTAAAAGTTGAACTTTTGCGCGTTTGCTCTAATATTCCGCGAGATATATTAATTTAAAACTCGGGGTATTACATTCTTCCCCCCTTCGATCGAATTCGCCCTCGAATTCGCCCAATCATACTCTAGAACACGGGATATTTCTTGAAAGGAGTACAACTAAATAAATCATGTGATAATTCACGGCGGAAGATTGCTTGTGATAATATTGTTGTGCTTAAGAACGAAGGAGATGCACACCTTGGTAAAAAAAACGAAGGAGATGCACAATGTAAAAAATGATGATACAGTACAGAAGGTTCCAATTTGGCCTGCCACACGGACCCAAGTTGAAAAGGATGCCCATTGATTCAAGGTTTCGTTTGGGTGCCATGCAATGGTATATTCGATCTGGCCTCAAAACTAAATTTAATCTGGTGGACAGCACTTCCAAAAAGAGTGCCTACTTTTTTCTGTAAACGAGTGCTACGATCAAACCTGCATACATGCCATATGGACTACACGATACTATTTCTTGCAGCTTATTCTTATGATTCTCCTGTAGCCTTCTCCAGTTATGTATCAATAAGACAATTATACTTTTCCCCTAGACAAACAGACAATCCATATTCATCTCTGAGGAGATTGATTATTCTCTTGCTTGGTGAACAACGGATAATATTATTATCATTTCTTTACTATTACAGGCTTGATAAGCCGATCAAACAATTGGCTTGCAATTTGCCTCACAGGCTTGCAAGCTAGGGTAGCGTACATTTCTACAGCAGACCTTCGATGGGGAGAAAATGTTGCATGGTACGGGTACCAAACCATTTATATTGACATTGTTGCGTCCTTCATTCATGGATGCACTCCTGGTGTAATCTAGATTTTTACCTGAAAAATAAAAAATATTTTACTAGGAAAGCATGAAAGATAAAGAAAAACCATATGCAATACATGGATATGTGAAGATGGATGTCTAGAAGAAAAATGGAAACACAAATTTTACTCTGAAAGATATGTTTCTATAATACATCGTGATTACCACAGAATAATTGAATAATTGTGAAATCGAAATAAACCTTGGATTCACCATTGAGATTCAATATTAGATAGTAGATTACCATACAGATGGCCAGGAATGCTAAAACAGCCTAGAAGGGCCAACAACAGAAGCAGAAGTCCTCGGCTACAGTTCGGCATCTGCTTGCCCATTTGTGTGATTGCTTTGTATGAAGCTGTGGCTTGTGTTTCTTCTTTGTTTTAGGATGGTTATATAGACAGCACAACTGAAATAAATAGACAAAAGTAATCCAATGATTAATAGTATCCAATTATAAGGCTTATCGTTAACATATGTACAGTTTTGTTATAAATTAGTCAAATGAAGTATGGTGGATAATCTTATCTAATCTTACCATCTGCAGTTTACTCATATTGCTAAACATGGACGGTGGCCTATGTAACGTCTACTAGACACTCAATGTGATAGCTAAATATTTGTTAATGTGTTTATTCTGCACAATCTATGCGAAGTTATTCCCTCGTGTAAGTAATATATGCTCTTTTGCACGATGACATGGTCTGACATATTAAATTTTACCACTAATATTCTTTCCAATATACTCTGTGAAAAGTCACTAGAATTACAATATTATAAGAAGATGATTGTAAAAGTAGTTAAACATATTTTACCAGCTCCTATAATCTCTACCTCCCAATGAAAATTTTAAAAACATTTACGTGTTGTTTGGTGATAAACCTGTTTTATGGTCAATGCAAATTTCTTTGTATTATATAATCCCTTATTTTCCATATGTTACATGGTATGGATTTTTCGTAAAAAATAGCTATGGATGTTGATATATTTTTCGGAATAGATAATGAATATAGGATTGGTGGATAATCGTTCAGATGTATTTGTTGGTCTATTTTTGTAAAGTATTCTTAACGGTTAAAGCGTCAAACATTGTACGCTGAACTACTAGGTAGTTGGAGGTGGAACTAGACATCCTATGGAATTTTACTTACATCGTATAGAATTGTACCAACTAGAGCAGGTTGTATGACCCGAGAGGTTTCATGTTTGATCGGGGGGAGAGGGTGCGACTACAACCTTAGGTGAGCATGATTCCATGCATAACTCTTGAAAATGGACAAGAATCACTTGTACAACCAAACTTGGATGCAATTGTCCGAGGTATACGACGTGAACCACAAGGTATACCACGAAAAAAAGGTAGAGGGAAGATCTCAAGGTGACAAAGATGTAAAGTCAACAATACCTAACCAGGACACCCACTTTTTACAATCTATCACGCATAGTGAAATTGTATTGAAAACCAAACACATCCTTGTGGTTACCGCGTTTACAAAATTTGTGGAAACAGGTTAGTCCAATGAAATTGATGCATGGAATCTCTGTATTACCCATTTTATTAGAATAGGTTTGTAGTTGAAATGGGTAAAAATGGGTGACAATGGTGTCTCCATAGTGGATACTAAACTGGTGATACAAGGAACAATCACACGAGCTCATGCCTGTTCACTTCATTATCAGGCAGTTTCGTTCTTAAGGTTACAATATCATGATTTCTTTAAAGGGGTACAACTATAAATAAAATCCTGTGATAATTCACGGGGGGGAGATTGCTTGTGATAATTTTATTGTGCTTAAGAACGAACGTTATGCATACTATGGTAAAAAAAAACGAAGCAGATGCGCACAGTAGAAAATGATGATACAATACAAAAGGTTCCAATTTGGTCTGCCAGTCAGACCCAAGTTGAAAAGGTTGCCCATTGATTCAAGGCTTCGTTTGGGTGCCATGAAAAGATATTTTTGATTTATCCTCAAAACTAAATTTAATCTAGTAGACCGCACTTGCAAAAACAGTGCCTACTTTATTATGTAAACGAGGACTATGATCAAACCTGCATACATGCCATATGGACTATACGATACTATTTCTTGCGCTTATTATGGTGTTTCTCCTGTGGCCATCTCCAGTTATGTATCAATAAGACAATTATACTTTTCCCCTAAACAAAAGGACAAACCATGTTTAACTATGAAGAGATTGATCATTCTCTTGATTGGTGAACAACGGACAATATTATTATCATTTCTTTACAATTACAGGCTTGATAAGCTGATCAAACAATTGGCTTGCAATTTGCCTCACAGGCTTGCAAGCTAGGGTAGCATACATTTCTGCAACAGACCTTCGATGGGGAGAAAATGTTGCATGGTACGGGTACCAAACCATTTATATTGACATTGTTGCGTCCTTCATTCATGGTGGCACTCTTGGTGTAATCCAGATTATTACTTGAAAAATAAAAAATATTTTACTAGGAAAGCATGAAAGATAAAGAAAAACCGTATGCAATACATGGATATGTTAAGATGGATGTCCAGAAGAAAATTGGAAACACAAATTTTACTCTGAAAGATATGTTTCTTTAATACATCGTGATTACCAAAGAAGAATTGAATAATTGTGAAATCAAAATAAACCTTGGATTCACCATTGAGATTGAATATTAGATAGTAGATTACCATACACGTGGCCAGGAATGCTAAAACAGCCTAGAAGGGCCAACAACAGAAGCAGAAGTCCTCGGCTACAGTTCGGCATCTGCTTGCCCATTTGTGTGATTGCTTTGTATGAAGATGTGGCTTGTGTTTCTTATTTGACAACACAACTGAAATAAATAGGCAAAAATAATCCAATGATTAATAGTATCCAAATATAAGGCTTATCCTGAACATATGTACAGTTTTTGTCGCCTCCCAAAACGACCCTAAAATACATCCTCTAAATTATGCCTAGAATAATTAAAATACTTGTGAAAGCCTTCAAAAATTAAAATGTGCAAAGTTAAAAGTCAATTAAGGCTTGGAGGATTTTTGTATATTTCGTAAAAGTCTAAAATGTGTAAATAAGTTTTAGTGGAATTTTCAGAGCATAAATAATAATTATTAAGAAATAAACAAAGTTAAAATGATTTTATAAAAAGAAAAACCTTAAAATTCCCCCTCTCCCCCTCTTGGGCCGGCTCGGCCCATCTCCCTCCCCCTCTCTCTCCTCTCCCCGCGGCCCACTCGGCCCCTCCCCGCACGCGCGCCGCTGACGGGCGGGCCCGCCCGCCACCCTCGCTGACGGGTGGGGCCCACCCGTCATCCCCTTCATCCTGCCGCTCCCACCGCCCCGCCCGCACCAAGCGCCGCCGCCGCCGGCAAATCCGCCGCATCCCGCCGTCCCCGCGTGCAATTAAGTGGGAGGAAATACTCCCCATGATCCCCTCTCCCTTTCCCCCATTTTCCCCTCTCTCTCCCTCTCTATTTCGGATGGAAACCCCCCTTAATCCCGCCGGCGCCATTGATGGCGGCCGGACCTCCTGCGCCGGTTTCCTTCCCCGCCGGCCGCCCTCTCTCCCTCCTAACCCTATTTAAACCCTCCCCGCTCTTCTCCCGTCTGTTTCCGCCTCTCGCCGCCCTTCCTCCTCGCCGGAATCGAGCTCGCGCCGTCGCTCTCTCTCTCCGCCGTCGCCGCCGAGCTCCGGTCCGCCGCCGTCGTCGCCCCGGACTGCCTCCCACCTCGGCGCCGCATCCTTCGACTTCGCCGCATCCTCGCCGACCGCCGGAGCGCCGTCGACCACGTCGACCCAAGCCGCGCCACCGCCTCCTTCCGCTCTGGCCGCCTCCTCCGTCGCCGCCGTCGCCCCGGGGTGAGCCGTGGACTGCCACCTCCTTTCCCCATTCCCTCCCCTCTCTCGGCCGCCGCTCCGCCGCGCCGGTGGTCGCCGGCGGCGACCATCGGGGCGCGGGCGCCGTCTCCCGCCGGCCACGCCGACGTGGCCGCCTTCGGGCGCGCCGAGCGGCAGCCGCATGGGGCCCCGCCGTCAGCCGCCCGCGCCCTCGGGTGCGGCTGACGCGTGGGGCCCGGTCGTCAGCCGCCCGGGCCCTCGGGTGCGGCTGACGCGTGGGGCCCACGGCGCCGGCCGGTGTGAGCTCGGGTGCACCCGGTCCACCGAGGACCGTGAGGCTGCCGCGTGGGCCCCACTCCCGTGGACCCGGTCCGCGCGCCCCCTCCCCACGGCTGACGCAATAAATTCTTTTTAAATTAAAATTTAAATGAAGAAATTCACAAATATTCACTTAAAGAGCATATAAACTTCAAATGGCCATAACTTGGCCATTTGAACTCGGAATTGGACCGTTCAAGTCTCTAATTTTTCCTTAAGAAGTCAAGAACCCATTTTTGTACTTTGTTCCTGCTTGTTATATGGAATTTATTAGAGTAAAAGACTTTTTCCTTTCCGTTGGTCGTGTAGACGCTGCAGCTTCGGAAGATCCGCTCTTCGTGGAGGTTGAAGCCGACGTTTGGGAAAGCGAGCAAGGCAAGTCACATCATCTTTGAACATATTGGATCCCACTTTGTGAAATTATTTTGATTTAAATTAATGCATTATCGCTTTATTTAAATTCCCGCTGTCGGTGATATGGGACCGGGAGTATCATAACCAGAGGCTTGAGGCAGACATAATCGCCCACGTGGCCTGGCACCTTCGGGGACGTCGGGCCCGAGGGTGAGGTGTCCGCCCTCCTCCTGATTTCCCCCGAGGGGGGGTCGGGGTGCGCTTGCCCCGACCCCGAGGGCCGAGGTGCCCCGACCCCCTGAGGGGTTTGCACTATGTACGTAGGTTGGGTGAGCACAGCAGGGCTCACCTAACCACATTTATTGCACATCGGCTAAGCGTGTCACGCCGCACGGAGTGCAGTGCAGTGCACTCGATTATCCGGTCTGTGACCAGTCACAGACCGGTCAAATCGCGAGTTAGGTGGCGGCAGGCGGTCTGACGCACGCCTTGCCCCATCCCGTCAAGGTGTGAGCTTCTAAGCACTCGTCCCCAGCTGGAGCTAGCGTGTTACATCCCAAAGATGGCACGTTAACCCCGATCGATATATACCAGGCTTCATCCTAACCATTACAGGCAAGGTGTTACACGAAGAAGGGCAAACATGCACGTTGTTAAACCGACGCGTGGTGGACAAGAATGACCGGTCTGACACTGGTCGCATCAGCAACGGGCAGCCACGATCCCACGTTGCGCCTGTCTCCGCCGGGAGTGGAAGCAGGTATGGGCTGTCCCATCAAAGTGTCATTTGGACGGCAACCATACCGATCTCCGTCCATAAAGAGAAGAAAAGTCCAGTTTGGAAAGGGAAGGGTGCAT